GAAAACTTACGCATGATTTAACGTAGAGAAAGTGAGAGAGGGAGAGAGAGAGAAATAGCGGTGGGGGGGGGGGGGAGAGATAACATACTGAGCTCACTAGGCGACTTGCATTCGTCCCTCCCAAACTTTTTTCTTCCTCATACTTATTAAATGTTATCTATACAGCATGTTGTGTTCATAACAATAAACACAGTATAAAAAAAAAACCTTTCAAACATCCATTCATCCTTTATTTTTTTCAGCCATCCATAAGGAGAGTAAGAGAGAAACAGAGAGGGGGAGGGGAGGAGAAATTTAAAAAAAAAGTAAAACAAAATGAGCATTTTACTTATTTCCTATGTAATAACGCTTTGCACGAGTACATTGTTTTGGAAACTCGAAACGTTTCCACTGAATGTTAACTAGAATCTACACAGCAAATAGTCGTTAATCCTAGGCAGTTTGCAAAGAGCCAATCAGACATGCGTGCTGAAATTACATCAGTCCGCGTGTGTAAAACACACAAAGACAACTGTCATAAGCATTGCATAGACTGCCAAATGCTTTGTCTTAAACCAAACAAACAGACCCATAAACGCATCATTCGGTTGAAGATATATGAGAGCTTCAACGAATATAAAAATGGATTATTACAATACCACACAAATTATCATTTAGACATAACCTGTACTAAAAACAGACGAAGAAAAATACTGAGTGTAATATTGTAATATATGATACCTATCTTCTTGTCCGCTTCGGAATTGTGCATTCTATGAAGACGGTACTGTGGATCAACTATTCAACTAACTACCTTTGTCGTCTGCTTGTTCACATAATGACTTTGTTGACTTTACCATTATAAATTTGCCCAGCCTTGAGGCAGCGCAAGGTTCCCATGGTGCCTCTCATCCTGGCTTGGTCCACAATATCGGCCAGTTCTTTCAGAAATGTATTGTGGCGCCAAGTATATCTTCCTTAGCCTAGGGCTTTTCTGCAAGCGGACAATATGTGCTCGAGCGTCTGCTAAGTTCTGCAAAGTGGGATTGTCGGGTTGGTAGTCGCATGCCATTTTACCATGTTGACGCCAGACGGTAACACATCGTACGCAGATCATACGACAAAGCGCAGTCGCAGCGATGCTATTTGCCAGATCTCACCCCGTGTGAGTATTCGTGGCAAGGCGCTCTTGACAAACTCCTTGATTTCTGCGGTTTAAACTGCATTCGACAAGGCCGTCCTACCTGTTCAGAATCGCGTGAGCCTCCTCCTCACTGAGGTTATTATAGTTGTCTCACCATTAATGCACTCAGTGGAGGCACCCAGTGGTCCCCAATTTAAAGGACTTGCACGTGGCCGGCAGCCCCGTCTAACATGACCTGCATGGCCATTACGAACAGTATAAGCGACATCGCACATCTCTTTGCTACCCCAACCTGTAGTTAAGTCCATCTCGTAGTAAAAGTTGCGTTAGAGAAGCGTATGGCGAACTTTAAGAAATATTTCTCGTTCATTTCGGTGATCTGTGTCGGTACGTGGAACATGCGAAGAGCCTACCAAAATAGCTTATTGGAAACCGCCCCATAGGCTCTAGCGAGCTCCGGCCACATCACGTGCAATTGGGTTGTCACTGTCTTAGCTCTCTGAATAGACTCCCAGATCATGGTCGCGTGTTCAAGGCCACCGGGAACGCCCAGGATTCAACCTTTCTGAACACTCGTATCGATGTATTTGTTCCCCATCAGAGACTGTGTGAGCCCGCGAGCCATCACCGAGAAGAATATTTTGCCCTCAGCGTTCAGCAGCGAGATAGGTCTGAATTGGGATAGACTGGAAGCGTCTCGCTCCTTGGGAATGTAGCCTCCGTTGACTCTCTGCCACTGGGTATATTTGTGCTTTCGACTCCAAGCTAATCTTAGATAGATTTAAAGAAACAAAAACCCCACTGTTTTGAACTAGATGGAGATGAGAACTTTGAGGAAAACTGGAGTGATGTAAAAGCACCAATTTTAGAAGTAGCAATGATTAGAGCAGGACTTAAGAAGCACAATAAGTGATAGATCAGTGATTATGCATAGCAGTTTTTTTTTTTTTTTTAATGAAAGAAAGGTACTGAAGCAATGATAAGACAATAGAACTTGAAATCAGGGCTAAAGAAGATTAAACAGTAGTGTAACGGAAGAAAAGGGAGCAAAGGATGACCGGTTAGCTAAAAAAGTAGAACTGGCAACTAGGAGTCGATATTGTAAAATATATAATACACCAAAACAGAGAGCACTTTCAAACTGCCGGGTGGTCCCATTAAAATAGAGATGGTACGATGCTTACATTCTCTGAGCATAATAAAAGGAAGCGATGCATGGTATACAAGGATACAAGTTGTAACACGGTCTCTAAATAGCAGGTTCATTCCTGTTTATTTGTTTAGTTAGCATTTTTCTTATCGCTAAGGTGGTTGTTTTATTACCCAGTCGAAACAAAGATAACATATGGCATGTGTCATTACTTTTCCTGTAAAGGCGTAATTTATTTTTTTCGATTGTAATTAACTTTGAGCATTCTCTTTGTGAGCTGCAATTGTCTTATTACTGTCAGACACTTACTGCAGCAGTCATATTCTAGCAGTACCAAGTACCGAATAGGCTCACGTCGACATATCTTTCATCCAAAATGTTATGCTCACGTCAACATTTCATCCAAAACTTTGTGCTCGCGTCGACATATCTTTCATCCAAAACGTTATGCTCACGTCAACATATCCTTCATTCTAAATTTCTTGCTCACGTCGACATATTTGTCACCCAAAACATTATGCTCATGTCGACATATCTTTGATCCTTAACTTTTTGCTAACGTCGACATATCTTTCATCCCAAACGTTATACTCACGTCAACATATCTTTCATCCAAAACGTTGTGCTCACGTCGATATATCTTTCATCCTTAACTTTTTGCTCACGTCGACATATCTTTCATCCAAAACGTTATGCTCCCGTCGACATATCTTTCATCCAAAACATTATGCTCACGTCAACATATCTTTCATCCCTAACTTTTTTGCTCACGTCGACATATCTTTCATCCAAAACTCTCTGCTCCGTCGACATATCTTTCATCCACAACGTGGTGCTCTCGTGGACACATCTTTCATTCAATAACGTTATGCTCACGTCAACATATCTTTAATCCAAACCTTTTTGCTCACGTTGACATATCTTTCATCCAAAAATGGTATGCTCACGTCGACATGTCTTTCATTTAAAACTTTTTGCTCACGTTAACATATCTTTCATCCAAAACGTTATGCTCACGTCGACATATCTTTCATTCAAAATGTGGTGCTCACGTCGACATATCTTTCATTCAAAACGTGGTGCTCACCTCGACATATCTTTCATCCAAAACTTTGTGCTCACGTCGACATATCTTTCATCTGAAACTTTGTGCTCACGTCGACATATCTTTCATCTGAAACTTTGTGCTCATGTCGACATATCTTTCATCCAAAAGTTAGTATCAGTCACCACATGCTAACATGTTATGAATACAACCGTGTATTCAAATCTTTGAAACAAGCAGCAAAGTAAATAAACTTGAATCTAATGACCGATTTTATGGTAATCGTTTAGTGTGTACGTCTGAATGCGAACAGTAAGGGGTAAAGGGGTTGGGGGGGGGGGGGGGGGGGGGGGGGGTGGATTATGTGCATTCAATACATTAATATGAAGTCGCATAGAATTTCTGAAAGCGGTTTTAAAGAATAATGGCGAGGTCACATTTCACAGATGCACATAGACTTGAAGAACTGGCAGAACTGGTCGACTAGCTGACGGAATCTAAAGGCATCTGAACGGAATCTAGTTTTGTGGACATGTAAGAATGTATCAAGAGAAAGCATGTAACGGCAAGTCATAGCAAACAACGCAGACACCTACAGTGACGATAACAAGCAGATTGTTTTGGTGATACATGGACACTTGGGCACTAGATTCGGTATACAGCCAACAAAAGTCGATTGCAGATAAATATGGCAGCTAGTGACTCATGGCATGCCATGTTCTGATGTTTCTGGGGAAAAAAATTATTAAGACAAAAGAGTCAGCAGTCATTGCATAGTGTAAATATGTGTAGGTGGTGTGACTGGGGACAGACGTCTGTACAAAACTGAAACAGCAAACATGTAGCAGGTGTGATTGTTGCAGGCGAGACAACTGTCTGCAGGTGGGATAGGAAGTGCCAGATGAGATAGAGAGACATCTCTATCAGTCTGGCTTGCTTGTGATAGACGAGACAGAAGTTACATAACGCAGACAAATATGACAGTCCGGAACAGAGGATATTTCTATGTAATAAAAGAACATACATGCAATGTATAAAACTTGGAGAAAAAACCCCAGAAAAAAGCAATTGCAGTTTAGTCAACAAGTAGAGTAAAGGACCTCTTTCCACGCGTTTCAGGCGTACTGGGGATACAGGGCTAGACCTATATTTTATAGACCAACGGCACAAGATGGGTCATGTTATCAGCATCACACCAGCCGCCTTTACTTCCCAGAACTGCACCTGGTACCCATTCAAGGCTGAGTCGATAGCCAAGGTAATTTTTAAACAATGGTCCGGCTCCGCCAGGGAGCGAACCCACGAACTTCTGATCCTCAGGCGAGCGTCTAGCCACTACGCCACAGCGACTTCCCATTGCAGTTTATGCTTCAAATAATCGTCGTCGACTGACACCAATCCATCGATCGTCTGATCATTCCAGACAATGCTATTAAAGCGTGTCTGAGCGTCGCTGGTGCGGTATTCATCTGCAAACGTTATGACGCCCATCTATTTGGCACACATTTTCTTGATTAATGAGATGTAAACATGGATAGCAAGCGGTGCCCTGAATCACTTCGACTGATACGGGTTCTAAGTACGCTACTCGTATTCCAAACAATGGTCGTATAGTAGGCACATTTTTTGGCCTGCTGTGGAATTTCGCAGAACACACTTAAAGGTTGTTCTAATTTATAAACTTACATTTTTGTTTCTAATTCTGAATTAGAATTTACAGGTAATTCACTATTGGTAGACTTTTCTTTCGTTGTCTCATCTGGACTCACACTCTCGGAAACATTGTCTGTGTGTGCTTGAAAGGCATACTGTTTAGAATACTGAACATAAATCAGAACTATGACATATAGTCCTAACATGATCATTCTCAGACCAATCGACAGTCCACTGAACCGATAACGGAAAAGTTCTATGTCGTAAAACGAGCAAGCTCCAACTGACGAACAGGTTGTCCTCCATAACAGACACGTTGAATCCACCAGGTAGCCGTATATCACAGGGCCAGGAAACCAGCCTGAAAAGATAACATACGTAGATGCAATGTTTACAATTTTCGCCGATCCCTATATAGCATATCTATTAGAAAAATGATTGCAGCTAATGTTTACATTTCACTACGACCATCATAATTAAAATTAGCTAAGAGACACCTTTCTTTCTTAGACAGGCTTGACTTCAGCTTGTTCTAACCTCAGACGTTGATACTAGACCTAACACAGTAGTTTTGCTTATCAGTGTGTAATCCACACAAAGTCAGGAACAAATTATCACGTGTTTAGAAATCAACAACTGTCTGGTGATCTTGGTAATCTTGATAAACTTAGATTCAGCATCATATCAAGCGGGTCACCGCATAATTGCTCCACTCCAGTGCCAACGAAAGCCACACAGAATATCCATCACTGTACCGTACTGAAAACTTTAACAGACTGTAGTTTTAGCATATTCACAAGCACACGCAAGCATTCAGAGCAATAGGATGCTATCTGAAGTGCTGTCACAAACAGTCCGATATTGGAAATGCAGTATGTTATCGACGGAATCAGTACTTACAGATCAGTAGTTTTAATCTCATAAGACAACACCATATGTGGCAAAAATGTGATGGCACTTTCTAAAACTTTTCGTCCCAACAGGACGTAATAACACAGTGAAAATATACTCAATGAAATGTAGATCTCACTTTCTAAAACTGTGTTCGTAGGACGTAACAACAATGACATACTACTCCAGAAATGTGATGCACTGGAGGAAAATGTAAAGGGTAGTGACGTAATAGCAATGACATATACTCCAAGAAATGTGATGCACTTTGACCTAAAACTTTGCTTGGTACTTTATGGACTTTAATAACAATGATAGGCGTATACTCCAAGAAATGTGATGCACTTTTTAAAACTTTTCGTAGGACGTAATAACAATGACATATACTCCAAGAAATGTGATGCACTTTCTAAAACTGTTCGTAGGACGTAATAACAATGACATATACTCCAAGAAATGTGATGCACTTTCTAAAACATTTCGTAGGACGTAATAACAATGACATATACTCCAAGAAATGTGATGCATTTTTTAAACGTTTTCGTAGGACGTAATGACAATGACATATACTTCAAGAAATGTGGTGCATTTTTTAAAACATTTCGTAGGACGTAATAACAATGACATATACTACCAGAAATGTGATGCACTTTCTAAAACTTTTCGTAGGACGTAATAACAATGACATATACTCCAAGAAATGTGATGCACTTTTTAAAACTTTTCGTAGGACGTAATAACAATGACATATACTCCAAGAAATGTGATGCACTTTTTAAAACATTTCGTAGGACGTAATAACAATGACATATACTCCAAGAAATGTGATGCACTTTTAAAACATTTCGTAGGACGTAATGACAATGATATATACTCCAAGAAATGTGATGCACTTTTAAAACATTTCGTAGGACGTAATAACAATGGACATATACTCCAGAAATGTGATGCACTTTCTAAAACTTTCGTAGGACGTAATAACAATGACATATACTCCAAGAAATGTGATGCACTTTTTAAAACATTTCGTAGGACGTAATAACAATGACATATACTACCAGAAATGTGATGCACTTTCTAAAACTTTTCGTAGGACGTAATAACAATGACATATACTCCAAGAAATGTGATGCACTTTTTAAAACTTTTCGTAGGACGTAATAACAATGACATATACTCCAAGAAATGTGATGCACTTTCTAAAACTTTTCGTAGGACGTAATAACAATGACATATACTCCAAGAAATGTGATGCACTTTCTAAAACTGTTCGTAGGACGTAATAACAATGACATATACTCCAAGAAATGTGATGCACTTTTTAAAACATTTCGTAGGACGTAATAACAATGACATATACTCCAAGAAATGTGATGCACTTTTTAAAACTTTTCGTAGGACGTAATAACAATGACATATACTCCAAGAAATGTGATGCACTTTCTAAAACTGTTCGTAGGACGTAATAACAATGACATATACTACCAGAAATGTGATGCACTTTCTAAAACTTTTCGTAGGACGTAATAACAATGACATATACTCCAAGAAATGTGATGCACTTTTTGAAACATTTCGTAGGACGTAATAACAATGACATATACTCCAAGAAATGTGATGCACTTTTTAAAACTTTTCGTAGGACGTAATAACAATGACATATACTCCAAGAAATGTGATGCACTTTTTAAAACTTTTCGTAGGACGTAATAACAATGACATATACTCCCAAAATGTGAACATAAACTTTTCGTAGGACAAATAACAATGACATATACTCCAAGAAATGTGATGCACTTTTTAAAACTTTTCGTAGGACGTAATAACAATGACATATACTCCAAGAAATGTGATGCACTTTTTAAAACTTTTCGTAGGACGTAATAACAATGACATATACTCCAAGAAATGTGATGCACTTTCTAAAACTTTTCGTAGGACGTAATAACAATGACATATACTCCAAGAAATGTGATGCACTTTCTAAAACTTTTCGTAGGACGTAATAACAATGACATATACTCCAAGAAATGTGATGCACTTTTTAAAACTTTTCGTAGGACGTAATAACAATGACATCGCCACTCACTAGGCGATCTTAACAACATGACGCCGGCCGCCTTTAATTCCTAGAATTATACCTGGTGCCCACTCAAGGCTGAGATGACCTTGGAAACAAGGTCATTTTAAAAACAAATCCTGCACCCATGACATTCACATCCGCTGGCTAGAGTCTAGCCGCTGCACCATAGAGGCTCTCATATGTTACTAATGTATAAATATATACTCTTGTCTATGACTAGCATGCATGAACATGTTTGCATTTACTTCTCAGACCTGTTCTTTGATAGAAACACTTTTCAAATTTCTGGACAATGATAAGAGCAACAATGACACAGCAATCAACTGTTACAACGTTAAATCTTCATTAAACACAACTTAGCGTTTACACAAATTCGTTAAGTCCAAGCGGTTGCATCTAACGTTAAAAGGACCTTTCTTAATCATTGTCGAATCGGGCATATAATGCAAACCCATTTCTCTATAACAGAGCCGCCATTGTACACCAGCTTGTTGCTTGATTGCATATCTGTATATTGTGGGCTCACATTCGGACAAAGCTGGTTAACCCAACATTAAAAAGGTGCTGGGGAATTAGAGGCGGCCTGCATGATGTTGTCCACGTCACACATAGAGTGACGACTGGTCTATAACATATTAGTATTATATGCTATAAACAGTCCTTGTTTTAAAGGGTCCATTTTACTTTACTTATGCAGAAACACCTGGCACTCGGCGATTGATGTCGTCAACACAATGTTTACACTTCCATGGATGTTTTTGGGCACACATTTTGAACTGGGTCACCATGGTAGCCAAGAGGAATACACACATATCTGTCAATAACGAATTTATACTTGAAACGCTCAGGTTTATAGTTCGTTCAACAATTCATAAACACACTTGCAAGCTATTGTCTCGAAAACTGCCTGTTTAATTGCAACGATTTTTTTCATTCAGGCTTAGAATATCCATGACGCAAAAACAGTGGTATTTTTTTTTAGTCAAGATGCTCAGGGTGTTGAATATCAGCCAAATGTCTTGAACTTTTCGAGCCATTGTTAAAAAAGTTCAGTGAATTTTTAGATTTTGCAGTAAATGTCTGCATTTCAGGTTCTATTTTGTTTTTAGAGGCTTGTCTTCATTATACATTGATAGGTGAAGTAAATTTATTTGTTGTCGTTTATGTTCAATTGAGTTCAGTTGAGCTTAGTCAAGAAAGAAATCACAGCACTGGGGGTATCCCCCTCTTCAGCAGCCAGCGCAGATTTCTAAATACTAGTGGTGATAGTCTGTCTGTAACTGGAAGAAGATAATTCTCTATCCAGTGCCTGAAAATGTGTCTATTTATTTCAGTGTGCTAGTCCCTACCATCCGTACTTTTCGATAGGAAAAAAAGGAAAAAGTCAAACGTCAAGCGGAAAAAGTCCTTTTTCATTGCTTCCTGTATAAATGAGTATAATGCTCTGGCCTTTCCTGCTTTGAATGTTTCTTTTCTGTTCATTGTTTACAGACTGACATTATGTAGCGTAGGAAAGGTGGGCATTTACCCAGTATTTATTCAAATTATACAATATTTTAGCCTTGCCTCCGTTGGTCGCGGATCTGCCTCAAGTATTTGCTTCGACTAGCAATCAAAAGTGGCTTTTCCTGAAAGGCAACCCAGTGGCTCTGACAATTCTCCACAGATGTTTTTTGAAATGTCAATACTGATTTGTGATTTCAATGTTAATTTAAGTTTTTCGGGGAGTAAAAAGTTGATTTGTCTCTAACATTTTTAACATCTCACGTCTTATGATATCTACATCAAGGTCGTCAGCTTTAATTTTCCTTCCTTGCTTGACATGAGTGTAATGTGTGTTGTAATTCAAGGGGTAAATGATGCTCTATCCAGATCAAGCGCCAATCGTGTTCGTTTCTCTGGGTCATGAATATCTCAATATAAATAACTCCTCTTAGATTCCCCGAGGAAGTGCTGGTACAGTAAAACGGTAAGCTTCGGCATAGCTACAATTTTGCATCTCAAATTCATTTGAAATTCATGTATATGTCAGCTTTTTTTATATATGCTAGCTATAGGACACAATAATTGAACATTAATTAGTGGATGCGGCTTTGACTAAACAACATTGAAGACCTTAAGCAATCTTATTTTGGCTTTAGGTTACTAAGAGTGCGACTTTGCACGAAAAAATCACGAAATTACGTAGATTTCTTTAACGCACTTTTTAACCAGTCATAGTGTGCATTTAACTCCTGAAAGTCTATTAAGACGTTTCATGATAAAAACTTGTCATAAAAAGAGTAAAACACAAAAAAAAACTACATATATTTCCTTAACGTCAATGATATTCTAAGGCTGCATGCAAAAATATCATTGCAATCCGTCCGGCAGTTTTCAAATAAAATGGCTTGCAGGTTTGTTTATGAATTGTTGAACAACCGATTTTTTTTTTTTTAAATAGATGCAATTGTTTGACCAATGCTCTCATCGGATACAGAACTACTGATTTAAAAGTTCATGAAAATACACGGCCCTTGCAACAGTCACTTACCCAGCAGATTGGACATGAAGGCACTGAATCCTATAGCCAGCGGCTTAGTGTCTTCCTTAACAGATCTGCAGGAGTTATAAAAACTATGTTATATTTATGGTGTTTTCAAGCTCTGAGTTTTACATGCTATTGATTTTACTTTAAATAAAATAAAAAATTATGATCGTCCTTTGCTCTGTTGACAGGAGCACATGATCACCAGAATCACGGATTAGGTTAGACAATCAGGCACTGTTTTGTATTTTTTGTCTTCTCCTTGCTCTATTTCTTCAAGTATTGTCTGTGGCCGACACGTTTTCGAGATTAATCCTTTAAAAAAAAAAATTTAGTAGTCTGGGTTTAATGTCTTGATTCACTTACTGTTTTAATTCGCTTGGAGCAGGATTGGTTCGTTCTTTTCTCATCTATCATTCCATAATAGTCTTTACAGCTGTTGACTGTCATAAAATATGCTTTTAACTACCAATCTATGATGGCGACAACATGTGTCTTTAACTAATTGTCACAAAATAAGTCTATACCAACACTAGTAAATGATTGTAACAAACTACGCATAAGCTATACTAGTGCATAATTGTCACAAAATAAGTCTACACCAACACTAGTAAATGATTGTAACAAACTACGCATATAGCTATACTAGTGCATAATTGTCACAAAATAAGTCTATACCAACACTAGTAAATGATTGTAACAAACTACGCATATAGCTATACTAGTGCATAATTGTCACAAAATGTGTCCATAACTTTACCGATACCTGATCAAAACAATGACAGATGGCATCAAGGACAAAGTAGATGTGAACGCTCCTACAAAGTTCATTGCCAGGTAAGGATACAACATGTTGCAGTCTTGATGACAGAGGCCTCCCGTGGCAATTTGGGTGGAGTCTCCAGACAAGCAGCTACAGTTGGAGAATATCTATTGGAAGAATAAACTTGTCGTTTTGATTTCAGGCTAACGTCTATGGAATGTATAACAGTTCTTCCAAATCTACATGGCATTTAAGCATCAAATTATAATTAAAACATACCGGGGTTTTTTCCCCTGAGTCAGGAGTGACCTGCTATATGATAAGAAATGGTGGGTAAATAATTTTTTTTTTCCATTTGACAAGGGAAACTAGGTATCTTAACCTTAACAGTCCGTGACCACTGTACTGGTCATGGTGCCCACAATCTTCAGGATTAAGACACTGTAGTCCGACACCACTGTGTAGACATCTACTAAGGGCAGCATACACGGTTTATAGTATTATTATAACAATATTTCATGCACTGCTATGTCTTCGAAATGCTAAATTATCATTCTGCAGTTGACAAAATACATAGAATAGCCTCGTTCGGATACAAACAGAAACGAAGCCGTCTGCTTCCACAGATAAAAACCGTCAACTGATTTGAGAAATGAGGCTTACTTAGTTTGTAGATATGTTAGGAATAAGAGCAGTCTGGACAAAACTGTCGTCCTAGCAGGTAAAAATCTAACGACAGCGCTGACAATAACCACAGGTAGGGTCACACTTACTGGCAGTATTTTGTCTGACTCATGTCGGGTATTATTATCCAGTATCGTAGATCGGCGCCATACAACATTAAGCCCAGTAATATGTTCACTACTATATCAGTGTCAGGTGCCTTCTCCACAAATGAAGATTGATTCCAGCAAAACTCCAATATGGTATAGCTCGTGCTTGCTGTACACTCTGAGAGGCTGATATTTGTTTATCTCCCGATATTGTTGTTACACCTGTATTGTTATAAACCTCTTGATTGCCTGCCTTCTGCTTATCCCTCCAATATCTTCTTTATATGTCTTTTAATGTGACCTCAATATTCCCCCTCCCCCGCCTTTTGTTTTTATTTTAATTCCCGAAGACATCGTAGCACAAACATTAAGAGAAGATAGTCCTCATATTTTTTGCCATCTTTTGAGATGAAGGAGGAAACTGGAACATATCGCAGTTAGACAGCTTTGTGGAAAAAGAGATAGTGATAGATATCGCGATAATACTGACTGCTTATGGTTTCGGCATGGATAAACATGAGCACAGGAACTGATACATGATGTTGGAAGATCATGTGTTGTAGAGAGGTATGATCGCCCCTGCCAGACGGTGAGACACTTTTTATTTTAAATTTCTTGTATCGTCTGTCGGCGTCTGTGGCTTAGGCGTTGCGAACGTGCTTCGTCATACAGGGGTGCCAGGTTCGATCCCAGCTGCGGGCATTGCGCCTTGCGTTGGTTTCGACAGTGGTATCAAGAAGTCGACCGTCCAGTAAGAATGGCAAACTACTGGAGGTAAACTTGTCTAGAAAAACCACAACAGCCAAGAAATGCTGGGGTTGGTTCTGCAACGTCCTGTAAAGGATACACAACTAACTTTCTGTATCGTCTCCCTTTTAATTCTCGATGTGTTCCATAAATCAATCTGTAAAATCCAGGACAAGCTCTAGATGACTGACATCTGTATCAGATATTCATGTTTTTCGTGTATTCTTCCTTCGAATGACATCAGCAATGCTGTACATTTGTTTTTTTTTTTTTAAAGAGAGCTGAGATATCACATGTGCAAAACAAGCGATAATCATGACGTTTTACCTGATTGTTCATAGACATGCAGCCAGCATGACAGGGTGAGAAGTAGCTTCTCCCATCACTTCCACAGATCGGGAAGTATTTCAGGTCATCGCAGTGACAGTTGTTTAGGCATTGGGATGTGGTCTGATAACTGAAGCTACAAGGTGACCAGAGAAAAATATCAACATTAATTGTTTTCTGCCCTGTGTATATTTTAACAATATCATTTCTGAAAGTGTCAAAGGAATGAATGAATGAATGAATTTCTACCCCACCAGGACATCACACAAGCGATAAACACCCGATGACACAAAATGCCACCATGTGGATGAGGACCACCGTGGAGAGGTATCAGAAACCGCATTCAGACAATTGGCCATATTTATTGCCTGCCTATATTGCGGCCCCTGGCAAAAGCCAGAGTGCGGCTTTAAATAACAAAAAATTACGTCCTAAAAAGGACGTAAGGATAAGAAAGCAGTCAAAGAAATTCATTATTTAACTGTGACTACGGAAGTTATGAAGGAGGAAAAGGGTCCTTATTTTTTTTTTTTTTTTTTTTTTTTTACTTAATAGGAATAAAACTGCTAATTAAAAAAAAAAATAGTAAATGAATAAAAACATTAGGAGACAATATTAGTATTCGTTGTGTTTTAGTACTGATATTCTTTTTGAGCTTTTTAATCACATGGCAGAGGATTATTTCTTTACAATATCTAATAATTATTCAAGAAATTATCCACCTTTTTTTCCAGCTTTAGGCTTTATAAATGCAAGCACTGAAATGTGACATAAATGTACGGCATAGCGCAGCGCATTAGACCTACAAGAAACGTACATATGAGTCATCAAACCAAGTATATAAGCAAAGACACATGCGTATACATTTAAATCAACAAAACAGACATCATGACCAGAACAAGAAAAAAAAAAAAAAAACTATACACATTATAAGTTATAGAAGTTATCTTCTAAAACAAGTGAACCAATTTTAGTGCGAAGGATGCAGAGTATCATCGGCTAGCAAATCAGAAGACCAAATCATCAACAGATATTATAAAGTTAACAATTTTATTAGACGAGTAGGCCAATATAGAGAAGCAAATATAAATCACTTGATACGAGTACAGCAAATCTACTTACCAACTCTATGCTACTACTGTCAAGAAAAAGAAATCTGAAACACATTACGGGCAGTAGTAGCACTAGCTTTTATAAGAAAATAGTTCGACTGTTTCAAACCGTCTTTTGACAAGCAATTACGTATGTGCAGACCAGACTGGAATCGAAAAGGTGTTGAACTTGTAAATTATAGACATATGCAATAACAGTGTTTCTCTGAACCTCTGTGAATGAAGTACACAAACCTGTACTCCCAATCAGTTTATTTACCTCGTCACAGCAAGGTACAACAGGATCAAGTTTAGATAAACCATTCCTGACAAAGTAAAGAACACAAGACATCTCACCAATTACCTAATGCAATATACATTCTCAAACACTAGGGGGAAATACACACACATACACACGTCAGCAGTTCATGTGCACCTGTCTGCCCCTGTGCCACGGTAGAGTTGTGGCTGGTCACAGCCAAAGACAAAACTCAGACAGGACACAAGGTTGTCGATGGTCTTGCAGATGATGACAAACTTGAGGCAGGCCAATGGGGACAGTTTGAACCTGGACGTCAAAAAGCCACCAATGATGGTTCCCAGCGGTGCTGCGGTAAATGTCACAGCTCCTGAGAAATTAACAATTTTTGCTGCCGTAATGACAGTCGTTTTTTTTCAAGAATAAAACATTCTCAAAATACTCAGCTGTCACATATACATATATAACACATTCACACATAACTGGCGTATACATAATATAATCGCATACATAACACAAAACACAACACAGACACAAACACAGAAACAAACAAAATTAACATAAACGTACACATCACATAAATACTAACATAACTTCAACTGATCTCAGAAGATCAACTACGAGAGCAAGAGAACGGCCGCGGAACAATGGATTGACAATATTAAAGAACTCTGCGCCTTCACAACATGACAATAGCCAGTGGCAGCCAACGTGCACTGGATCGCAAATTATTCCTCCCCACGACGCCTAACGGCAGAAGTGGTTTATGATGATGATGATGATGACTAACATAACAGAAACACATCAATAACACACAAAAACTTGTAACACAGACACATAAATTACACACACCTAAACAAACTATACACATAAAACAAGTGTAACAACCACACACAAACACACATAAAACAAACATAAACATAACATAAACACATGCATAATATAAATACACGTACATATTAAACACAAACTTACTACAGTAACACACTTACATCAGGCACATAACATACAAATAGATTAATTGTGTTTGTCTGTAATCCTTTCGAGATTGTTCCCTTCAACGAGCCGCGATCCGTTGCATCATGTTCCAAAGAATCTAAGTCAACACCTGTAATATTAAAGTGCCGCTTGTTCACATCTTTGTATCCCATCAGAATCCGACCAGACATGTCCGCACTCTCACTGTAATATACTGTTATGTATCTGGAATGAGGGAATATTGAGAAAACTGTTGCAGTTGTCCTTACCTATGAACATATTAGCTCTTGAAGCCGGGATGGTGAACTGGGTTTCCAGATACTTGGCAAAGAAGGACATGACCCCACCGACGGAGATCGAGTAGAACACGCTGGCAAAGGTCAAACACATGAACACGGGGTTGGCAAGCAGATGTAGCAATGATTTGAACAGATCTGTGTCAGACAGAGTGCAATACCGTATTTATGGACATTTTGGAGCAAGCATTTACTTTCAATTATTTACCGGAGCCCCCTAGGCAGTCTATCTTAGTACACGGAATTGCCTTGGAAAGTAAAGAATGTCAGCGTGACATGGACCCAATAACCAATCAAATGCAGATTGCTAAATATATATTTAGGTATAGGACCATATTATCGGAAGCAGCGGTTGGGTAGCGGCTAAATGCGGGCCTGTAGGCCCTAAAGTCATCCGTTTGAATCCGAATGATGTTGGACCTTGGCTTTCAGGTCCCCCAACCCAAAGATTACATGAAATAACAATTTCCTACCAACAACATCAGGCAAACTAAAACACTTTTAAGTTAACTCAGGTGATGAGCTCTTTCCGATGCCATGTATACAACTCTTTACGAAACATTCCTGTTTTACCTTTTTCGACGTGTTTTTTTTAGTCCATATTGCATTTACAGCTGGTTCTCTAGTCAGTGAAGAGCTCTAGTGACCGTTTTTAACTCGATTCTGGAACTAGATGGCGTGGTATCACGCGTTCCCTTCATAAATATCCCAAATGCAGCTACCAAAAAATTCGTACACATCAGTTAGGTGCCTACCTTTAGTTTCCAGCCAGAATCCGCACAATCCAGTATCCCGCGCTTTGATTCTCTGTTCAGTTGCTGGTGGTTTCGTCCGTGTGCGGCGCATGCGCTTGGGAAAGAAGATTAACGGAACAGAAACAATGATACCAGCGCTGCCAAAGACAAGGAACCCCAGCCACCAAGCACCCAGCCATCGAGGGTCACGTGGTGATATGTTAGTTTCTGACAAAGAGACAAAAGCGATGCCGATTGTTATTCTTCATTCAGTGTGTAACTGTGTATTAATCTGAATATTGGGCATCATGCTGTGTATACCAAACCTGACATCCCAGACTGTGCCAACGGGTTCGAGTGGAGAAGCACATTTTGGAAGGATACTAGCCCAAGTGGTCTCGAGGCATGGCGGCCACCTCGAGTATTGGAGGTCTCTGATTCAGACAACGGTGAAGGCTAGGATTCTTTCACGTGGACTTATTATAATTTCAACTAGTCTCTGTGTAGTAAGATCAGACGGTCGTGTTTACTGTTGCACACGTAAAACATCCCTTGGCAGTTATGAATGGAAAGGATTAGCCCAACAGCGCCGCCTACGCAAAATATAGAGATAAAAATCTCCCTAAGTATTTCAGGATTATCGTCGGTGCTACAGAGTGAAACGACGCCTGCTGGTGGATGTAATGTCCTCAGTCCCTTCAGAAGATAGCAACAGGCAGTATGCGCTCTGGATGGATAGAAAGCATTCGGAAATCGCACTTAACCTCCGTAACCTGATCTACACACCGGGTCATGCGGGCGTAAAGGGACATGCACTGACAGTCAGCGCTGAACTTGTTTGTGTTTGCTTGTTAAGGAAAGTTGTCATTTTCAGCTGCTGTTGTGTAAACGGACATCTGTGTATTCGTCCGAAGGTAACGTTGACTTTATTTGATGTATTATACACCTAGACTATGTTTATACCTCACCATGTACTGGCCAAGGAATCAGCCAGTGAATGAACAATAAATATTTACAACACATCGTGTTGTTCATTTCATCAATCTTTTACCTGTTGAGTTGATTGCCAGTGTACGATCGAGAAATCTGCAAGCGACTGGAGCCAAACTGAATGTAAAGTGAGTCATTGCAATCACCATATGCCTGCTCCACTAATGACATTAAACATTTTACTGAATTTCTATTTAAATATGTTATATTTATCTTTCTGTTGTCTCTATACCGATTAAGCCACTAAGTTGACAAAGATTAAACTACAAGGTTTACTTAGATTATAACTACACAGTTGACTAAGATTAAATCACACTGTTCACTAAGATTAAACTATACAGTTAACAATGATTAAACTATACATATGACTAAAATCAAACTACAAAGTTGACAAAGATTAAACTACAAGGTTTACTTAGATTATAACTACACAGTTGACTAAGATTAAATCACACTGTTCACTAAGATTAAACTATACAGTTAACAATGATTAAACTATACATATGACTAAAATCAAACTACAAAGTTGACAAAGATTAAACTTTACAGCTGACAAAGATTAAACTATATATTTTTTTTTTCACTGAAAGATTAAAAACGCTGGACTGGATTATGCAATAAAGTATACCGATTGTCTGTTCATCGGGGTGAAAGATCTCGCTGAAGGTTTTCAGCCAGAATGGAAATAAGTATCGTGGCAGAACACCGCTTTTACAGCTTTTCTGCGGCTGAGGTGGAGGCAGTCACAAGAAGAAATGTATGCAATGAAAAGAACGGTGAGTTTATAATCAATGTTCTAAAGGGAACAGTTAACTTCTACACTTGAAGACATTTGCTGCAGGAAACCGAGCACCTTTGAGTATGTCAGGTGTGCTATGATGTCGGTTCTTAAATCAGTATAACACAGCTAACTTAGAAACAATTAAAAGAAAAACGTCATATAACATTCTAAAAATAGCACATTAGCCAACAAACAAAGATGACATGTTCCTAGAGAAGATCCCCTCCAGTGACATCTTACCCTCCAGCGTGACGTACATGCTGCTGAAAAATCCACCCAGTGCAAACGCAACACCGGGGCCAAAGATGGACACCCCGATGGTGACTCCTACAACAAGAGGAAATAAAGTGGTATTAGCAATCAATCATGGCGACCCCCCCCCCCCCCCACTTTTTTACCCCCCCCCCCCTCCTTCCCCCCCCCCCCCCCCCAAAAAAAATTATCATAATTTAATACGATAAAGTGAGCCTTATAGTTAGGATTGCCAATCAGTGAACAGGATGCAGAAAGTTCATTCACACATCTACGTTTTGCAAAGCTACTGCTCATACTTAACACAAGACTTTTTTTTTAATCGGTTTAGTAAATTATTATTATATTCAGTGTTAATTTCACCCAACAACATAGTCTATCATGCAATAATATCATCTGTTTCTAATTCATTTCTGTCTGAGAACTAATGTTATGTGTCGAGCAGGAGTAAGTAAGTACATTTTACCCCACCAGGACATCACACAAAGCGATAAACACCCGGTGACACAAAGTTCCACCATGGGGACGAGGATCACCCGTGGAGAGTTCCCAGAAACCGCGTTCAGCCGTCAGGCTATATTGCGGCCCCTAGAACAGCCGAGGCAGGGCTTCAAAATAACGAAAAATTGCATCCCACATGGGGACGCCTTGGTTAACGAGCAGGAGTTACAAGAACTAGTGTACCAAGTCAACAGGAAGAGTGCAGAGTATGGTTTAGACATTAACGTTCGAAAAACAATAACAATGGTAATTAACAATGGAAAAGAGCGGCCAACAGTGAACATCACAGTAAAATTGGGGGGAGGGGGGGGGTTTGACAGACGAGTTCACGAGGGTTTCTTAGCAGTGCTTCTTTGTGGGGCCGCAAACTCCGAAATCCCCTGCAAGCTCGTTGTTGGCCAATATAGTCCAATATCCGTAGCACACGACGAGGACATGCTGCAGGAGTTCTGCATGAAGATCCGTATAATACGTACATAGACTGCTGGCCTCTGAAGGTAGTTTTAAAGTATCTCCTTACACACACCAGAACGGCCTTAACTTTTTCTAAAGATGCAACTGAAATAACCGCTCAAATGCTGGCACAGATCTTGCAGATTATCTTACAGACACTGTGGTTGCTATGGCTTGTCAGTTACTGAACATAGATGATGTCAACATTGGCATGCGTAGCATATACCTAGAAGACAAATTCTGCAAGACTCCTTATCCCTGACCAGACTGACAGGCATATATGGCGCAGTCTAGAGCTGCAAGAAATGAACATTTAAACAAGGGACACGCCATTTGATTGATCAACACGTAACAGACGTCATCAGTAGTTTAGGCTTCATGAGCTACTTAGAATGAGATCGGAGCACATTCACGTGTGTCTGGAGTGTTGTGATGATAATCCTTACTAAGCAGCCATCTGATATCTCTGTTTCTATCTCTTATAGCATTCTTTGTAATCAAGTCAACTGATAAGTTGAACACAACAGGGTGATAGCGGGCATCCGCGTGGTGGCTAAGTATGTTTACTGTTGTATGTTAATGGTAAGTTACCTTGCATCGAAACCCTTAAGTAAATTGTTTTTTTTCACATGCATTGTGCTGCTCTATAGTGAGGTAAAGTCGTTCCTAGTGATTCCATGTACAGGCACTCGAAGGAACTTCGTCATTTTGTGGCAGCTTGCTGATACTATATATTGTCACTTCTGTGAAATTTTGTAATTGTTTCAGATTTCGTGAAAAATATCTTGTATATCTGTTTTTGTGTCTCTTATCACATCGCCTTTACTATGTTGTTAAATTTTCTAGCAGATGATTAACTCCAGTGGGCTTTGTTAAAAACGTGAGCTTCACTTATCTTCTTAACCACGGCCTCTGTAAATAGCTGTTCGGTTATTTGTGACAATCCGAAGTCTCGTGTATATCAGCACGTACAAGTGGACCTATCCAGTTTATTAACTCATGGACGTTTTGTTTCCACTTTTCTAATAATATCAGCCATCTAATAAACAAAGTTTTTACACTTTAAACACTAGTGGCGCATGAAGCATGTGATATTAGATTCTTGTTTACACAAAAAGTATTTTAGGTCTGTTCTGTCGTCAGCATAACGCCGGCCACCTCTAATTCTAAGGATTTTACCAGATACCCATTTTCGACTGGGTTGAAACTGGACCTATGTCAATTTTAAAAGACAATCCCACTCCATGCAGTTTTGTGCCAAATACCTTTGGGTCGGAAGGCAAACGTCTAGCCACTACACTAACACGGCTTCATTATCAGTCATCCATTATATCTCTAGAGGATGAAAGGATTGGTCCCAACACGTGTGATGTAAGTGCAATAAACAATTCTATGATCTGAATCAATGTTAGAGATACACTGCCAAGCATACGCCAAACAATTCTTACCTACCAAGATACATAGACGTTTTTGTTTTAGGAACGTTGTCATCGACGTAAGTAGTGAGGAATGCCTGCCGTGGTGACTTGGCAAAACCTTGGAGTATCATGCCAATAGCCAGAAAGAAAATGGCGCCAATTCTCCAGTCTTCTGTTACTTCAAAATTGCCCTTGAATCTGTTCGAGCCTGCAGTACAGCTTTCATTGGTAGGCGTGGTGGCGTTCTGGCACATCTGAGTAAAGCTTGTCGATGCAGCTGGCTGTAATGTTGTGTTTCCCACTAGAAAAAAAAAAATCACAGAAACGATTTCATAGCTATGCTCAGATTTGTCTTTCCCGAAATCGTCAATCAGTTTAAATACATAATGTGTATGATCTTTACTATAAATTCGAAAATCCTTCAGTCTGTCTGTGTGCATATGTTTCTGTCACACGTCCTAATCCCAAACGATAATCAATAGAGATTATAAATGTATAGATATAATTATAAATGCAATTTCTAGGCCAGCTCTTTTATCTGCAACAAGGTTTCTGTGTTTTTCTGACAATTTAACATTCACTGAATGCTTATTCGGCTGTCCACCTTTCACCGCACATGTCTACGAAGAATTATCAACATTTTCTGGCCAGATACAATCTCAAACACTAAACTACTTCAAGTCACAAACCAAGAAACTTTAGACAGTATGATTACCAAGAGAAGATGGAAATAGCTTGACCACGTTATGAGAATGAATTCTAATATACCTGCCAAAACAGCTCTCACATGGACACCAGAGGGAAAGAGAAAACAGGGGCGCCCAAAAATAACATGGAGGCGATTGATGGAAAGTGACCTGAGTGCGGCATCTTTGACATGGAAAACTGCACTGAAGATTGCACAGGACAGGAAAGCATGGAAAGTCCTCTCTGAAGCCTTATGTGCCACTAGGCATAACGAGAACTGATGATGATGGTGAAGTAAATCCCTAACTAACTACATATTTTATTTACGTTCATTGAAGAATAAGGTTGTTTTTTTAAACTAAATTTCAGTGTTGTCTTCCTTCATACGGAAGCCTTGACTGTAGTTTTCGCGAGGACATCCGCCTGGGTCCTGGGTTCAGCTATCACTGAGACAGTTTGGGAGGGAAAGGGAGGGATTGGGGGGGGGGGGAGTATTATATATTTTAAATGTCAGTATTCTCAGCCTTTTCCGTAATGGATGGTCAAAGTTCTTAAATAATAAGTAATAACAGGGGGACATTGAATTATCACCAAATTATGACATGGTAGTCGCGATAGCGTATTGCTTAGACCAGCATTTCCAGTGTGGGAAGCTACAATCCTATTGGGGAGCTGGGGAGGCGAAGTAAGAGGTAAATGAGCTTTATCAGTCATATCTCAAGTGGGATGGGGAATGGGTCGAATGGCCTAGGGAAGGCTTTGACATCTTGTGCTCTTCGTCCCTCATCCCCCTCTTCCCCTGCTCATTTAAAGGGGAGGGACTGAACCTATCATCTCAGTAATTTTTAAGACAGCTCAGTCGTCAGCCATTTCCATCTCCTCATTTTCTTTGACGATGATACGGATGAAGCAAATCTTTAATTGCCCGACACATGAAGTAACTTTCTCAGTTTTCTCTCTAGTTCCTCTTCTCTCTCCGGATTTCCTATTCCTCTGTGTATTACACTCATTCAATATTATGTACCCTGTATGCAGCACACATAATCACAGGCGAGATTGGGATACAATAACATTTACCATAGAATACGTCCCTGGGCGGACTGGGGATCTGGCTTCTGGTGCAGAAGAAAGCCACAGCGCAAAGGAGCCCAGAAACACCGTACAGCACGCTAGACACAGACATTGCTCGAGGGATGTGGACTTGTCTGGTGTAATAGCTAATGGACAAGGTCGTGGCGAGGTAACCGAGATCGTTGCATGACATAAGGAAGCCACTGATGGCACTGCTGAAATTGAAGTGTTTCTCCAAAGTTGTGATCTGTAAAACAACAATTAAACCAACACAGCACTCAGAGAAGTTTTGTCTGAACAATTCTTGCTGTTTTAGTTTCAATAAAAATTACTAAGATTAATATTGTTTTTCTTAGGACTTTGTCGTAAGACGCTAATGACATATTCAATGATAATACACTGTAACTTGTTCTTATAGACTACTCACATAATAAGCAGTTGTTCATGTAACAGTGACGACGAATGCACGAATAGTTGTCTTAAGAATGATTCTGTCATGTGCTTGAAATTTTTTTTAAAGAAATAAAGTTTCTGCAGCGTTGACAAAATAAAATAGATTTAAGGCTTTGACAATGTTGCTATTGGAGGAGAAAGTATGTGTGTGCGCGCGCGTGCACACTCGCGTTTTATGTCTGGATACAAAACTGCGGAAGAACATGTTCATTGAACATTGAAGTGGACAATGAGGATTTGCTTGAGAAAGAACTAATGCATTGAAGTATTAACAACTACATTAGGGGGGACTGTAAGGGGTGCTGGCTTTACCTTTAGAAAGTTTGTGGAAACACCTATGGCTCATAAGAAGTAAATGATTTATGTCAGAACTGTAAATTTGTTTTAGGGGTACAGACAATATTAGTCTCACAAAGATCAAATAAATCGTCTCTTTACAGAAACAACAGGACGTGCGCAATCGTTAAAATAAAAGCGTAAAAAAATGGCTACATGAATAAAATTCTTGTTGATCAATAGTTTTTGAGATATTTGTAAAAAGGAAAAGCAAAAGTTTTAGGGCACGACTTTTCGAACACATTATGGTACATGCTCTATTGTCAAAACGTGGCCATACTTATAACTATATTAATAAAGTAACAGAAACTGTATTGATCGGCACTCATAGAAAGAAGTAGAAAGATAGAAGCACACGCTAGACAACATAAAATTAAAAGCTATAGTTACCGTGCAGGGAATCAAACCTGTCACCTCCAGACGGCGTGTGTGCCTCACTATGGAAGCACGTGCACTAAGAACACTGTCAACTAAGCACACCAAAAATAAAAGGTATCTTATTGGCCACGTCTATCGTACAGTTTGAAATCCACAAATTTGGAATACGGGGCACCATGGGTTAAAGCAATTTATATTAACGAAGCATAGTAGGTCGAATAACAATCACAGCAACAATTTACGAACACAGTATACCTTAATGCTTTGTCTAGAATACACAAACATTTAAGAAAGGTATTTGGTTAGTAGGTTCCGGTGTGTATACGTCATTCACATAAAAAAAGCAGAATGGTAACCCTTGAGACTGTTAAATATTTAATATATTATTAAAGTAACAGAAAATGTTACTCATCAGCACTCATAGAAAGGAGTAGAAAGATAGAAGAGCACACTAGACAACATACACATAGTTAGCTATAGTTATTTATGTGTCATACATAGAACTACATTGTTGCCGAGAGCAACACTAAGGTCCATAAAATAACGTAGAAGCGCTTAATGAGACACCACTGGTTGCATTTTGGCTGTTTCCTTATTTCAGTTTCAACTGTTGATTTATGCAAACGCATATGTTTTTAAGCGACTTTTATGTTTTGTTTGGCAATCAGCTGTATATGGGGAGAATCACGCTTTAGGGGGATATGTAGAATTTCGAATCGCTAAAATGAGCGAGGAAACTATATTCCAGTCAGTATGCCTTTTCATGAACTAACTTCGCCATTTAGTAACAGGAAATACATAGGGCATAGTTAAGTAGAAGCCTGGTGTCTCGCTCTCTCATGCTGTCTATCCGTCTTGCCCTCGCTTTATATGAAACAAATAAAATTGTTTGCCGACATAAACATAACGCTTTGTAACGCGGTACCACATACTGTATATCGTATACCAAACAAAGAAGAGTAGTGTAGATCAAGGTTAAGATGGAAGGATAATCAGGAAAACAATAAAACTGTACGACCTGGTTATGGTCCAGACAGATAGATGAGTAAGAACTAGAGTTTACTGTCGTGTATGCACTAAGGATTCCTACCTGTGAGCTGATGTAAGAGTTGAGTGACGACATCACAAGTCCAATCGCACAGTACAAGGCGGAGAAACACGCCATGTTCTTGCAACCCTAGACAACAGAACGGTAGATTAAATTCTAATCGTTAGTTATTCAAATCATCGTCTGTCTAAAATAATGTGCTTAAATGCGAACTATCAACTTACTTGTATCATGTTTCATATTATATAGATGTGTCTGACTCGGTACAGCGGCTGGTCGACCGCTTAGAATGTCGCACAAAGCACACATCGTTAAGTTCTACTGAGGAGCCTACGAATGTTGCAATACATGTACACTAAAAGAATGAAAACAGAAGTCAAACAACGAAACCAGTGCCAACAACATCGGTCTTGCATACTCGAGCAAAATAACGTGGATAGAAATCATGGCCACCCATACAGTGGCAACCAACAGCAAACTTACCTGCATACATTTAGGTCTCCAGGAACCGATTCCACAGTAGCTGTCATCATCATCTTCGTCTTCTTCATAATCGGATATGAAAACTGCTTCAGTAACTTTTCTATCTGCGTGTACTTGATGATTAGATTCTTTCGCTGAGAGGATCCGTCTCTCTCTGTTATCGTTGACATCTGTGTGAACAGTGGATACATAAAATGAACTACTCATGAGCCAGGGCAACAATTAATTAACTTGGGAAAATTCAACGGAGGTCCAAATGCTAGTCCCAGATCTTCCAATTAAATATTAATGACAAACTTTTTAATCATATTATTAGGAAATTTAAGCTCATTCATTCGAATATTGAAGTTTAACAATCCTCTGAGTTGAAATATCGTTTACACGTGAGAAAATAGGGTTTAATATAAAAAATAATAAATTTTAACAATCCTCTGAGATGAAATATCGTTTACACGTGAGAGAATAGGGTTTAATATATAAATATATATATATACTTATAAACAATTGCTGACTTTTGAGAGCAGCTGGTCGCCAACAAAGAGTATCACACAAAGCATTGATATGATTGCACCAGCAAGGTTCATGGATATCCGAAAAAATTGCATACAAATCACAGATGACAACACATACACATATATTAAATGTGTTTTGCCTCTCACTCTCCTTAGAGGACTATGTAACATATCTTGACGGTTTGTCTGTGCCTTGACAGGCATCAGACAGTAATACCAAATATGCATGCAGTTATAGAGATACTAGGGTTCTGCAAGTATTTATAAGCAGTTCATCTCTATGAAGAACTTATCGACATTAGCAGCACAGCTCTACAATATTTATCTCTCTATTTTAATAGGCCTGATTACCAGTTTGAAAGCCACATCTAAGTTTTAGAATATAGACTTGCTCCAGTGATCAAACCAGCCGCTTCCACTTGCAAGATCGATATGTTTACAGTTTTGGCTTTCTTAGTCCTGCAGAACAGCATATCTTTATTTAATTATTTAATTTCTAATTTGTCTTCCTTTATTTATACATTTGACCTCTGTTTTATTGAGATGTCATCTAAAATCGTATGTTCTGTATTATAATTATTCGTGTCCATATTTTCTGCTATTTAGTATTTCTGGTTTCATATTGACCTTGGTTCTGATATCTTGTCCATAAAACTTTATAGTCACATTGTGTGTGGTGTTAAGTGCTCCACTGATTTAAACTTTGGTCGAAGAGCCGGCTGTATTTGTACGCATCATTTCCGTTCCCTGCTTCGAGATTCCTATTCATAGATCATGACCTCTGTATGTAAAACCTACTTTTGGGCACCTTGAACTGGACATTTGAAGGCAGGAGAATCGTACGCTTTGCGCGGGCCTGTATGTCATTGGGGCAAATGTGTAGCACAATGCATGAGCTTCCAAAGCTCCAGTTATTACCTGAAGAAATCAGCGGGAAAAAAAATGATATTTTTTCACTCAACTTCATTTAAGTCAATCGACTGGATTCTATAGCTTGTTTCTCCTCTTTATCCCGTCCCTTTTTCTCCTAGTCGGCCCATAACACAAAACACTGTAGGTGATAGTGCTACTATTATACTGTGGTCAACAAACAAAATGTACGAGAAATAAATATAGCTGATCTTCACTCATTTTGATGTTCTGAAAATGGAGCTGATATATTAAAATGTTAATTAACTTTTTTTTCAAGGTATGTGCTTCTAGTTTTTTTTTACACTGTTGAGGGCAAATAATCTTAGCTCTATAGCAAGTAAATTGATAGTTAAAAGTTCATGATCTTATCTATGATTATCAAGTTAGTGTATACATATCTTATCTCAGATACAGTTTTGTTATTAGTTAGTTCAGCTGTTCTTATCGAAAGTATCGTAGTTAGAAATTACTAGAACATGTATAACAAAAATTTATGTTATACACACGCACACAGACACACACACATACACACACACACACATATATATATATATATATATATATATATATATACACACACACACATACACACTCACACACAACGAAATATAACTAACGTAATTAAGGATTCAAAACTGTCTGTCACCCACAAAAAATAATAAGTAATGAAGAAATTGAAAATGTCACAAATTTTAAGTATCTAGCTCTATAATAAATAGCATCGGAGACTGTTCGATATAAATCAAAAGTATGATGGCCATAGCAATACAAGATTAAACAGCATTTAAAGTCTTTGGTTAAGCACTAGCAGGGAAATACAAATTAAAATTTTGAGAGCATTTATCTTCACATACGTATGGGAGTCGTGGACTGTCTCCCAGTCCTTGAGAAAGAAAATAGGGGTGTTTGAGCTAAAATGCTATAGAAAGATTCTTAGAATATCACGGAAACAGAAAAATAGAAATACTGATATTTTAAAAGTTTTGAACACCAAGGAGGATTGGCCAATCGTGTCTCAGCAAAAGTAAAAAATAAAGTAAAGATCTCTTTTCACGCCTTAGGCGCAGCGAGCATATGGGAAGAGCGTCCCATATTTTTACAGACCAATCGGCACTGGATGGGTAATGTGGTCTTTACTTTCCTAGTACAGCCATCCTGGTACCCATTTTAGGCTGGGTCTACCTGCGACGCCCCATACCATGATAAAAATCCACGCAACCAGCAGTGGGTTTCGATCGCGGTACGTTGGATTACGAGTCGGACTCGCAACGCCTAAGCCACGGTCGTCGCATCGTGTCACAGCAACTGAAATAATTTTGATCATATTAAGCGCCATGGCGGATTGGAAATAATAACAGCAGATGGCATGGTACCAAGAAAGGAGGGACAAAGGCTGATCAACACGAAGATGGGGACTGGTTATAATGGAATGCTTGAATATGAAAGTGCATGAGGCGGGAGAGTTGGCAAGAGACCGAGTTTCTTTTAGGCAGACCGTGATGAGAGCGACGTTTTGCCAAGGGCCTGCTACATGATGATGAATTAGGAATGCATGCAGTTTGTGTTTTGAGTGCAGAACAGAAGATCAAGATACTACTAGCTGGGCACCACACATCTGCTGCAATACAAGTGCCGAACATCTTAAAATAGTTGACTAGCAAAAGAAAAGCTATCGCTTTTGCAATCCTAATGATCTGGAGAGAGCCTACTGATTATCTCAACAACTGTTACTTCTGCATGGTCCCTCCAATTTGGAAAGGCATATCAACGAAACAGAAATGGACTCTGGAAAATACAATCATCAGAAGACAGTGTTAGGTCATACAATCATTTAAGCGTGAAACAAGAAACGTTAAGAACACATCACTTGCTGACACCAGCAACATTTTGCTGCAAAACCTACATTGTATCTAATGCAAAAATTGTTCAAACAAAGGAGAAATCAGATGAGGATCTCGTATACTCCATCAGCGTATTTCCAAGCCTGAGTGAAGCTTAAAAAACCTAGCATTGAAGTAAGTGTAGTACAATTTTTCTTGGAAACAACAGATCTGGTCATTATAATGAAAATCTCCATCTGAAACATGAGTCTTATCTACATCATGTCTTTAAAACCTTATATTCTGTATTCTCAACAGGATTTCTCTACACCAAACTTGCAGCTGTCAGTGATGAGCACAGTGAACGATTTCGCCAGGTATTGGTGCGCTGGAGTCAAGGTCTCAGTTAAGGCAGTTAGAATCCTCCAATGCTTTATGATTGCTGTTGGACTGTGACAAGAATCACCTTGTCGATAGACTACAGAAATCTAGCAAAGGGAGCCCGAACAGTGACTGAATAATGACAGAAATGAGTTAAATATGCCTTTCTAAAACTGTGTGTGTGAAGCTGAAGTACTTGCTTCGTGTTTTTTCTATCATTTTATGTTGATGTGAGTATGTAACAAGAATTGTTACAATACTAAAGTAGAAAGAGAATTAAACAAGCGTATTAATTCTTTTTTTTTTTTCTTATTCAGTGTTTCGCGCCCTTGAAGTTCATTGCTGCAGATATCACCCACCTCCATTCATCTCTCTGGTTGACCTTCTATTTCCAGGTGGTGACACCGACTGTTTGCAGGTCTGTCTGGATATTATCTCTCCATCGTCTTCTTGGTCTGCCTCGTGGTCTACGACAATTCATCTCTCTCGTGTATGCAGATTTTACTTCTCTGTCCTTTAACGTTCCAAGCTCTTTGTCCGTTTAAATCCATCCCAAATCGAGGCTTAGAAATCTGTTTCGTGAAGAGATAAAGTTTTACGAAAGTGGGGGTGTCGGCCCCACGCTTCAACTCCCAACCCGGAGAACCAGACGTAAATAAATTTACATTATTTGTATTACTGGTATGTATATTTTTTAACACACACACACACACACACACACACACACACACACACACACACACACACACACACACACAGCCACTTGATAAATTTAATAATAATTTTTAAAATCAGCAGGTCAAAGTCAACAGGAAATTGTGTATTTAAAATCAAATAGACACAAACCTGTAAATAGTTTGGTTGCTAACTCTCAACTCAGTGGCCCTGAAAACAGCGGGGTCGCCATGTCAGCTTTTACAGTAATATTGAGTGAATAAACATTTCGGCACTCCATGCAGGGAAACAGTTTGAACATTACCTGTGGTTACACTTCAGAATTAATCAACACATTTCAGCAGCTACTTTCAAGGTTACAGCGGTTAGATTGTTTACAGTTACACCCCCAGAAATAAAATTAAAAACAAAGCACGTTGCAGTACATTACACAGTCGCAGTGGCTATATCTGTTATACAGTAACAATTCACAGCGAGGAAACATGTTCTATTGCTTACCTTGGGAAACATCGGCTTGAAACCCCTGATTGACAGCACCATGGTGGGGTTCCCTGGACACTGAGACGACTGGCAGATCGAAGGAGGAATGTTTCATGGCACAAAGGTTCCCAACTTTGTGCTGGATTGAATCTACTGTGCTTCTATGTCCGGTTTTAATCTGTAACGTAGAAGATTATACCAATGTCTAGCATTGAGGTGGCATGAGTCTGCTAACTAAACTGAAGGTATACAGGGCTGCACGTTTTTCCAGTGCGGCTGTGTACTTATGAAACTTGGACTACATACTGATATTATGCAAAGAAGCCAAACCACTTCCACATAGCTTGTCTGAGAAAGATACTGAAAATCAAGTGGCAAGACAGAGCTTCGGATACTGGCATAGTGGATAGAGCTGGCATTCTCCCCCCCCCCCCCCTCCCCCCTACCCTCCTCTACCCCCACCCCCAATTGATGCTATCCTGCTGCAGTCACAGATTCGTTGGGCATTTCACCTCGTCCGCCTTCTAGACGATCGGCTCCCCCAAAAAAATGTTTACTGTGAGACAGAAGAATGTAGACGGTCTCATGGTGGCCACAAAGGAAACAAACAAAAACGCTCCAAGAACACGCTCAAGGTATCACCTAAAGCTTTCAGTATAAACCCGAACACTTAGAAGGCTACCGTACAAGAAAGAACTGACTAGACGGCGAACGTCCATACGAAGAGAAAGCGATTTGCGAGGCATCTAGAAGAAAGCGGCTGCAGATGTACACCGCTAGAAAGACGTGTATAAAATGTCTTTCCTCTACAGATACTGTTCCCTGTATAGGTTGTCCTAGATCCTTCCGGTCCCGTTTTTGGCTTTTAAATCACCTCCTGGCTTACTATGAAATTGTAATACAGATACCATATTATATCGAAGCATAGGAACGTGAAATGTAGAAGTGAGGCGTGGGAACCGTATAATATAAAATCTTAGCATAGTGTAATTTGGAAGTTTAGGAAGATTTAATTTAAAGTTCTGAAAGTGTGCAATAGAGAAATCAAGAACCATGTAACAGAGAGATATTGGGGCACTGAACACAAAAACGTGCTTCAGGGATTAGTTTGACTATGACCCATATAATTGTATACCTACAAGCCTGCACACACACACACACACACACACACACACACACACACACACATTAATACATACTAATAACGTAAACAACTGTGTGTGTGCAAGTCTGTGTGCAAAATTTATTCTGAATAATTGTATGGTTCCTCCGTCCCCCCCCCCCCCCGTGCCCCACACCCCCACACCCCCACCCCCTTAATTTCACAAACCAGATTTTCCTGTGTGGATTCTGAGGCCTCGTTTTTTTAAGGGGGGGGGGGGGGAAGCGGGAGGGGTTGGAAATAGACACACTGCAACTTAACTAGTATATCGTAACTGGATCTAATCAACACTTGCCTAAATCAGATGTGCATGCCCAAATGCTACAAACCCCAATATCAACGGCCTTTTTAGAGGTGAAGGAAGGTGGACACCATAACTTTCAGAAATGTCAGGATCTGAAGAAAACAAAAACCAGAGCACTATAAACGTAAAGCACACGTTCGTTTAATGATTCTCGATGATTCTGTCTTACACAGACATAGATAATAGAAACAAACCAGCTGCAAAGTATTATAGCAGCGAAAGAGAAAATCTGGTCCACTGGAGGATTCCAAGAGAAAATACACTGAGGGACAGTTGGTAATGTCGAAACTGTTGTCATGTTGTCACATGCAGGGGCAGATAAACTGCAGTTGTCTTGACAACAAGATGCAATGTATTTCAGTAGAGCCATGCACACAGTTTGCATTTATTTTCCTAACATTCATTAGTTTCTCAGATTTATTATCACTTAGAAATGTAGGCATAATTCGAGCACAATCCAATGTCTGTAATTAACAATATTTAGTTTATTACTCCCTGTAGGAGGATTTACACATAAGGTGACGTAGTTGCCGTTTTCTCATCATTAAAAACAAAGAGCTTTATGTCTGTCTGTTTGTCTATCTGTATTTCTTATTTCTGTCTGTCTGTCTGTCTGTCTGTCTGTCTGTCTGTCTGTCTGTCTGTCTGTCTGTCTGTCTGTCTGTCTGTATGTCTGTCTGTCTGTCTGTCTGTCTGTCTGTCTGTCTGTCTGTCTGTCTGTCTGTCTGTCTGTCTGTCTGTCTGTCTGTCTGTCTGTCTGTCTGTCTGTCTGTCTGTCTGTCCATCTATCTGTCTAACTATATAATTGCCCCTAAAAAAGTGATTGTCCTGAAATTTATTTTGTACAATAATGTCCTCCTGAGCACACTTTGTTATGTTTAGCATTGCTGTCGCGCTGTATTCAGCTTGGCTGCGATGTTGGCTGTTGTACATAATTATAACGTACAATAAATTAAGACGATTTAACCCAGAAAGAAACATTCTATGACTAATGAGCAATAACCCTTTGAGCAAAATCTTGCCGTAGCATAGACCACATATCAGTATCTCACACAGCTGTATAAGGTAAAACAGTATCTTACCTGTTATGTTAACCTGCGTTATTCCAGCTAAGGTACCATCTGTTGTATCCTATAGCGTATTTATGTCTAGACAAGATCGTGACGTGAATGACTGAACCACAAGGTGAAAGTCTAGTTATATATCTGCAGCCAACAAGGCAATGGCCCACGATGTGTCTAGCAAACTTAGTCCATGGACTGATGTATGATCACATATGTAGATATCACTGGAGGTAAACAACATAAACCTGCCCTTAGATGTGCCCGTCATGCCGGGGAATAGTTTCTTGCTTATCATAATTACCTTAACTTCTGCATTTCACCTTTAGGCACTGTTTGGTACTAAGACTGGAGGAAGGAGGGGGAGGCGAGAGGGGGTAGCGGATAGTAATGGTGGTGGCTAATAACAAGTAAAACCAGTCCCGGCACCCTGTTAATAAGGCTTTGGAATGGACCCATCAGGCAAATTTGTCATCTTTTAATGCTGATAATGTTAACGATCATATCTTGGAACACATTCTGATGAAAAGAGGTGCATGTTACTGTACTCCATACTAAAACCTGTTTGCGCTTTTCACTGCACAGTCCATGGTAATATCTACAAAGTGATTAGAGCCTATTATTTTTTTTTCGTTAGTAGAAAATAAAATAGTGATGTTAGAAAGCTAATTCATACATGTAAATAAAAGTAACAATGACATTGTCTGTCCGCATTCACACTGTCCTTTCTGCTTCATTAGTATGTCCTCTTGTTTTTACGTATTCTACATCCATAAGTGTAAATCAGTACATTACAATATTCCTTAATAGACGCGATGGTTCCTACGTATCTTTAGTCTTTGGTGTCTAGTAGGCGAAATCCCACTGTGACTGACTTTACTCTCTAAATTTAAATCTATGTTTGATTCCGCAACTAAAATATGTACCAGGAAATGTTCAGAGAAAAAAGACAATCGGCCTAAGGTCGCCTGGTTTATTTTTTTCTTTTCTTACTCAGCATTTTCAGCCCTGAGGTATCGCTGCAGATATCACCCGTTTGCATTCACCTCTGTGATTGACCCTCTCTTTCGTATGTGACTCCAAGTGATTGTTGATATATTTGTATAATGTCTTTCCACTGTCTTATTGTTCTGCTTCTTGGTCTAGGGCCATTAAACTCCCTTGTGAACATAGGTGTTGGCCTCTCTATCACCTGTCATTCTCTGTATATTTCACAGTGTTCAAGTCTACTAACCTTCATGGTGCCAGCGAACAATGATGATTAAAACTGATTTTGAATGTCGTTACTGCTTCTTACTCTTCCGGTCGGCGTGAGGTTGACCATATCACATCGATTAGGTAACACGGTAACCGTGCAACTCCCTGGTGTCATAGTAAGCCATGAACAGACTGGCGACGAGACTGTTGGCAAGTATAACAAGTTGGCTTTTCCCTGGTCAATTCGACCATAGAGCAAAGTGGCTTGTGAGCGCGCATTACTAGCTGCGATCATCGTAACAGAAGTGTCAGTAGGCGATAACCATGTATTGTTTTGTCGGCAAGGAAACGAAAGCACAACATTAGAGCTCCCAGACCCTGACTCATAATTGGTCATTAGATAGAGTGTAAGGTAGATAAAGGGGTAAAGACATTTTTTGTCGAAATGGGATTTTGATGATCGAAACGTCTTTGTGTGTGTGCGTGTGTGCTTGTGCGTGTTCGCCCCCTCCCCCTTCCGCTCCCTCGTGTATTAGTTCCTACAGATTAACTGCATTCAAGCTGCCGACATCTTTTTTCAGAACACAATAAATAGCTGCTGTTATAATCAAGTATCATCATCGAATGCCTTGCTGACTGGAGTTGCCTTTGCGCAAATTTCAAAAACTGGATAGTACGTATTAGTTTGTGTGTTGGCACTCTTCTAGGTAATGACAAAATGTGTCGAGAACCTGACAGCAAGATTTTATTTTATGGCTCATTCCATAAAACATTCCGGTTACACAACATAGACATAGAGAGGCAACCTAGACACACAAACGTAACCCAGACAGTCAGAGATGACCTAAACAAAGAGAGGTAACAGAAAGATGCATTTCTGGTGAGAGACTATCAGTGCTGGTAAGTCTGACGCTACCTTATACATTTAATTTCCAGGTGCTAGCTTCAAGATTTTGCTGGGACTGATCTTTCTTGAGATAGGTCAGTGAGTGACATTTTGTGTGTGTTTTCCAGGGGCACAGGTAGTAAGTAGTTATGGTGTGACCCGTCTGCAGTGATGCAGGAACGTCGTCAAACAAATTCACCCTATTACCACGGCATACTTTAGTTTCCTTATTCTCAGAATCTTGCCGGAAACCGATGATTGGCTATTTCTTATATTTATAATAAATTGCTTTCCGCCTTCTTCAAAAACTTTGGATTTCTCCTATTCACCCGGTCAAGAAATTAAAAGCATTCCTTCGTAAAGCCAGATTTTTTAGGCCTTGAGACATTGTATAGTCAAGAAAGGTGTAACTAAGGTTGGTACTTGTTGTCTCGTATTAGATAGATCGTTGCATTTCCTGGCTTTTTTTTTTTACTCCTCTCCCTCTCTCTCTCTCTCCCTTTCT